TGTTGCAATGTTTAGCTTTTAGCTATCTTTTTGAAACTTTTAGCTCTTAGAGGCTGTGTTGCAATGTTTAGCTTTTAGCTATCTTTTTGAAACTTTTAGCTCTTAGAGGCTGTGTTGCAATGTTTAGCTTTTAGCTATCTTTTCAATACTTTTAGCTCTTAGAGGCTTTGTTGAAATGTTTAGCTTTTAGCTATCTTTTTCATACTTTTAGCTCTTAGAGCTGTGTTGCAATGTCTAGCTTTTAGCTATCTTTTTCATACTTTTAACTCTTAGAGGCTGTGTTGCAATGTCTAGCTTTTAGCTATCTTTTTCATACTTTTAACTCTTAGAGGCTGTGTTGCAATATTTAGCTTTTAGCTATCTTTTTCATACTTTTAGCTCTTAGAGGCTGTGTTGCAATATTTAGCTTTTAGCTATATTTTTGAAACTTTTAGCTCTTAGAGACTKTGTTGCTGTGTTGCAATATTTAGCTTTTAGCTACCTTTTTGATACTTTTAGCTCTTAGTGGCTGTGTTGCAATATTTAGTTTTTAGGAGTCTTTTTGATACTTTTAGCTCTTAGAGGCTGTGTTGCAATGCTTAGCATTTAGTTATTCTTTTGAAAATTTTAGCTTGTTGTGACTGTGTTTCAATGTTTAGCTTTTTAGCTGTTCTTTTGATACATTAGCTCTTAGTGACTTTTTTGCAACATTTAGCATTTAGCTAGCCTTTCGATATCTTTAGCTCTTTGTGACTTTGCTTCAGTTTCAAACATTTTTGCCATGTTCAGCTGTAACGACTGAATTTCATGAAAATCCTTAATTTTCTCTKGTCAGGGTGTTTCCTCTCACCGCTCGTATCGGCTCCTCGCTCACCGGCGAGCTCTCTCCTCCTCTCCAGGACGTTTTCCAKGGCTGACTGAAGCTTGAAAGGCAGGATGGAGTCCTCGTCGTCTAACTGAAAGTAACAAAACCAAGAAGTGTTTCCAAGAGGGCTAACGCTAGTCCAGTTTTACAAAYCTTTCAGCGCTCATAAAAAAGCTAACCTGTCTGAGAAATCGATTGTTTTCAATGTCCACGACGAGAACCTGCGCAGAGAGAAACACATGAATAACTGAGCTCCTGTTTCCTAAGAGCTGACCGTTAGCGTCTGACCTCCTCCAGGGGCAGCTCCTTCAGCTGAGGCAGGGAGGCCGACAGCAGGCCCACGATGAACGGGGTCGGGGTGCAGACGATATCCAGCATGGCCGACGGCAGCACGGGGATGTAGGTGTGCTGCCACACGAAGGGATAAAGCAGCGCCACCACCGCGTGGCAGATCTGTGAGAGTGTGCTGCGAGAGAGGGAAGAAAGACGAGTGAATTGGTAAAAGTGTTACTGCCTGCCTTTTAGTGGTCCTCAATAAAAAACAGTTGAATATCTCATCTGTGTTCTGTAAGATGGAGTTAAGAGTTTGTTTCCTGTTTAAAAAGTCAGGAACATTGTAGAAAGTGAACTTATTCATTCTCCCCACATGAGGGAACCATCATCTGAATGCAGTCCAAGACTGGATATTCCCTGAAGTAACATTTCCCAGAGAGAGAAGCAGGTCTTCAAGCCTCTTACCGACGTCACTAACATTCCTGTCGTCTTCTGCTGTAGCTTTTTCTGACTCCCTCTCTGCTTTCAGCAGAACAAACAAACTGGTCCGGCAACAACTAAACAGCCTGTCCCAGAAATATGTCTCCGGTGAGATTCCTGAGTCCCTGGGATCCGTTGCATTTATTTTTAAACCCGGACCACCCGCACGTTGCATCATTGGCGTTTTCACCCAGAATCGGACATTTCTATAATTCCATAACAAGAAAGCTAACTGGAGGAAGACGCAGGCCCCAACCTGAGCTTATTGGCGGTGAAGATGACTCGTCTCTCCAGCAGCAGACAGCCAAAAACCCTGAGGAGCAGGCGCAGACTCAGACAGGAGAACAGGCATTCAAAGTCCACGTGCTCCAGGCGAGAGTCGGGGGGCCGACAAAGCTCCATCACCTGGGAAATGAAAGAATATAAGAGATTCTGTTCTCAGTCCACTGAGATGGACTGATGACCTGTACCTGAGGCTTTGAAATTCTTAATTCACTATCAAGTTAATCAAAGACGACTGCAATAAAATAATGAAACAAGAGGTGACACTTCTTAAGGAGACCCTCTGTCTCAAGAGGAGAAATTGAGAACTTAAGCAATGTTTTGAGACTTTGAGAAGGGGGTCTCTGCAGTCACTAAGTGGGAGGTTCACGGAAGTGGAAGGAGTTTGAGAAAGACATGATTGGTTGGATTGACCATTTTGCGTGGGGTTTGAAGAAGCTATAAGGATTTGGTTGGATGAGCACCAGGCAGCTGTGGGGATGTGGGAAAATTTAGGTTGGTCCAAAACGCCAGAAAGACCCTATAAAAAGTGTCCTGATGCATCTCAGTAGTCCAGGTAGAAAAAAATCAAAAAGAAAAAATCAGTAGGTCCTCTGGATGGGTTCTTCTTTAGTGAAACGTTTCGTCTCTCCTCCAAGACTTCTTCAGTCTGATGAGTTTCAGGTGAACTCAGCTTTATAAGCACTGCCTCCACATGGTGGACAATCAGGTTAGTCACATGCAAAGGAGGGCCATCGCCTAACAATAGGCTTGATTAGCTCTATTTAGTCACATGCAAAAGAGGAAGAAGTCTCTTGGAGGAGAGACGAAATGTTTCACTGAAGAAGAACCCATCCAGAGGACCTACTTATTTTTTTCTTTTTGACCCTATAAAAAGGTTACTCACTTTTATTACTATTAGTCATAATTTGGGGCATGGTGCTGACGAAACTTATTGGGGTTTGTTTATCCACTGATTTTTAAAAACACTTCACATAGTTAAGTTTTCTTAGGTGAACAGCAACATATTTTTACAATGTGGTTATTTCTGCTTGAACTGATGATTTTATGTGCAGACTGGGTTGTGGGGACTCTTCATTTTTGATGAAGGTTTCACAGACTCAGGAGGCTTTTAGTTAGATACATGCCTGGTTTAACACTTACAACACATAAAAAGAACCGGGATAGAACATTAGCTGCGAGGACTGAATGTGTGACGTCTTGACTCCATGTAGAAATAGCCTGCTCCTTTAAGACACGGTCATGAGGTGGGGTCAGGACGTGAAGACGATGGTAAATCAATGTGTATTTCCTGCTTCTGGGCACTGATTAGCAGGATGCTGGGGTTTTGCGGAAATAAAACCACCACTAAACAGTCCACAACTGTGTCGAAGGGTTTTTTAATTACTCACACATATCACTCAAACATTCACATATTGTTATTAACTTGTGGTAGATATGAACAGGTAAGTGAGTATAAGAACATGCCTTATATTTTCACAGTGCAAGCCACATAAAATTTGAATGCCGTACATGTGGAGGGACGTGTAGCAGTTCGGCTTGGCGTAAATTAAAATATATAATATATAAATTATATTTACATAATAACTTTATTATTACCATTACTTCATCTTTTAACTTCCCCCACAAGACAAGTCAACCCGACCAATGGTTCTGCCAAACTTCGCCAAACACTAAAGAACTCGATTTTACCAAACTCTGCCCACCCCGAAGAATTTGGCCAATTGCTATTTTGCCAAACTTTGCCTGAACCGAAGAACATTCCCAATCAAACTTTACCCACACCAAAGAACTTATCAAGTTCATATTTTACCAAATTTTGCCCACACCAAAGAACTTGACCAATCAGTTTTTCCAAATTCCGCCCACACTTGAAGAACTCCGCCCACACAGCCAAGAAACCTTCCTATGTACTGCAGTGGCTCCCCACTTGGACTTTTTGGAAACTTCCTTTAGCTAAATGTATCATAGCTGAAAAAAGTAACTTTTTGTGTTATTAAGGGACATTTTTTATCTTTATTTTCTAGGTTTCAGCAGACTTTGTAGATATTTAGTGCCTGATGTCGCTCACCTCGGTGCCAGAGCCAGGGAGAAATGTTTTGATGTTGATTGTTCTGCCCGGAGCTGGAAACTGGGCTTCCATGATCGCTCTCATGAACGGCTGCACCAGAGCGGGAGACAAGGCCCGCCGCCTCTCCACCTCGTCTAACACCTAACACACACATTTATAAACACCATTAATAAATCTGTTAATAAAACTTTAGGAGTGGGAAGTGGAGGCAGAAGGTCACCTTTGAGAACAAGTTGAAGCAGCCGAGGTGACTAACGATGCAATACACCTCAGGCAGACGTCGGCCTTTTCCACTGGGCTGAAAGAGCAACGATAGACGATGCATCTTTACATTGCAGTAAACATATTTGKACACACATCCTCCAGAGATACATGAGCAGGAACATATGAAGCTGTTCACATGCAGCACACAGTTCCCAGTCTCACACACTTCCGCCCAGCCTTTTTTATTTTTTTCCCCACAGGCCAGTTGACGTTTTTGGCATGTTTGTTTATTCAGCCGCCATGTTGGTATTCAGCCACTTCCTGTTCAGTAACAGCACACTTATTTATTCTGCTGGTTTACCAGTAGACGCCGGCAGTACCCGAACCTCCTGCTCCCGTCCTCTCCGGTCAAAACAAAGGAGAACATCTCGCTGCCAAACAGGAGCCACAGAAGTATTAGTCTACATTTTTTTTTAATACAGATGATAAACATGCTTTTAATTCTCATGAACTCATGAGAATTGAGTGCCTGCAGAGGGTTACAGTTTGATATAAACAGGGAAACGACATCTTAAAGGATAGTTTGGAGCGTTTAACTGTTACTGTGTTAAATTTATTAATGTAAAATTTCTGAACAACCTCTCATTAAAATGTT